TTCGGTGATGTTGAGCCACACTTTGGCCTGCCTCCTCTTCCTTCTCTTCTTGTGGGCAGAGGGATGCTTAGTGCCCAGTTCCTACAGTGGAGGTGGCTGCTGTGGTGGTATTTTTAATGGGCCTCTCTCTTTGAGGCCACCCTGCAATTTTCAGTGTTTCCAGCTTGGTGCTCTGTCTGAAGCAGATGTAGCTTGATCCTCAGGTTGAGTATTCCAGCTGTAAATTTACAGAGGTGGTAACCATGGGATTCTGAGATTTGACCGGAACTTCTGTTCATAAAATAAATAATTTTTCCGTGTAAGTGATGGGAAGTGTGCCATGATGAAAACATGTCCATGGAATGCTTAGGCTATGTAAGGTCTTGCAGCTTTAAAGATTAGAGGCTTGAAACATAAAATAAACAAACAAATCCTCTGGGAAAAAAAAGTAATTCTATCATTTTTGACAGCTTAGAAAACTCCTCTTTTTCCCCACACTCCATACTTCCATCCATTTCTCCTGCAGAAGAAGCAGATAGAGAAATCTGAAGTACAGTTGGATGTGGAAACCTTTGCTTATTGTCTTAGCCCTGTGACTCACTAATCAGCCTTGTGTTCACAGCTGCCCTCCCTTTGGAGTGCAGAAAGGTGCTCTGACCTAAACCTTCCCTCCTTGCACCTTCTGTTCCACATGGAAACTATGTCCTCTAACACCCACTGAGGCCAGGTGCCCAGCCAGTGGCTTTTGACTGCACATACAGATTTCCCTGGCTTTGGTAATTTGTGCTTCTGGTTTTAGCTTTTACATCCATCACCAGGGCTGGCATGGACATCTGGGCTTACCCACAACTACTCAAACTCATTGCCAGCAGTATCACTTTTGTAAAGCACCTTGAGATGCATGCTATGGAAGGAGCTGTATATATCCCATTGGAATAATCTGATACAATAATTTGCGGGCAGAATTTACTGTTTGAAACATGTGGACATATGGTTTCTTGTTACATCATACTTTGCATTCTTTGCAACCACTTAGAACCTGTAGATTTACTCCTGCTTTTTGTTTATTTGTTTTTGGTTTTTATTTGGTTTGGTTTGGTTTTGGTTTTTTTTTTTCTTTTCTTTGTGTTGTTGTTGTTGCTGCTGCTGTTGTCTTAAGCTGTTTCTGTTGCAGGAACAGAAAAGGAAGAAGAATACTACATGCATTGCTTATACCTTCAGGTATATTCACACGACCTCTGTGCCTCCTTCTTTTTGGAAAGCATCCTGCGGATAACACCAGCGATTTAATTAACCCCGGTCTGTTACTTCATTTCAAAATGTAGGAAAGGCTAGCACTGCCTGAAGGAAAAAACCTCCTTCCTCTGCCTTCCCCCAAGAGAAGAACAGGATCAGGCCCTAGAGGTATATCAGAGATCTTTTCAATGGTAAAGACCTTATCTCCACAAAACTGAGCTCCTTTCCTGATTGCAGATGCCTCCCTCCTTGTCCACAATGAAATGGTAGGCTCTCCATTCTTCTTGGGCTGAAAGGGCTGCCCTTTGCCCTCCAGGACCTGGCAGCTTGGAATGAAAAAGTCAAATATTCTATCTTTAAACAAGTGTTGCAACTAAAATGAATAAACCTGCCAATGTCTGGAAATGGATCAGTTTAGCAGTAGTAAATATTAGATAGGTATAGAGATATGTCAACAATATGCCTTATAGTAAGTAATAGAAAATTACAAATAAAAAGTCCATCTTTTTTTCTGATGGCCCCAAATAGTCTCTGTTTCATGAGGCTGCCTCATTGTCCTTTGGTAAAGATTAGCAGCAGGCCATTTGGGAAACTGCCATGGCTGGGGAGAAAATCCAGCAGCTCACTGATCGAGGTACAGCTGCCATCTGCACAGTTGTGCAGAAACCAGCAGATGGCACAAAACCTTAAATGTTCTTCTTTGGCCAGCAGGTCATTGTGTGGTGAGATCCTGCTGATTTTAGCCAGCTCTGCAGTCACCCTGTTCTACCAAGGCAGCAAGATATGGAAGAGTTTGGAAGAGAGGCTGGAACTTAATTTTTCTGGTAAGCTCTTGTCAAGGCTCTGAGAAAACCATTTCCTCCAGGCTTACTGCCCACCATGACAGAGAGGATGAGGCTTCTTGACTTCTCTTGCTTTGAGCAGCACCCCCTGTTTCACTTAAAAACAGGGTGAAAAGTGTGCATCTTTTTCTGAGATGTGTTTTGTGCACAGGAGTATGTGAAGTCCTTCTCTGCCAACTGTCAGTCAATAAATTCAGAAATAATTACAGTATCATTTTTCAGAAGGGAAAGGTGTGTCTCAATTCCTGTCATTTAAAACTGTGAGGTATTTGAATATTACCTTGAAAGTCCTAAGGCAGTGATTTATGATGCCTTTTTAACCTAATTATATAACACACCCAAGAATCTTACCCTTGAACCACAGAGGAACAAACTTCAAACGATTTCCTCTTCGTCGTCATTGCACCACTCACTTCCTTGGAAAAGATCCACATTGCTGAGCAGAACTCACAGAAACTGAAAACCTCTATGTCCTAAATATGGTGTCCCACTGTGGGGAAACCTTATTTCTCCTTTTTCATCCCTGAAAAAGAGCCTGGCATCAGCAGCACGAATTAGCTGGAGGATCAAGTGCCCAGAACTCATGGTGCAATAACCACTGCAGAGCTGTCCGGGGGGACTCTGAATGCACACACCTGTAGCTGTTTTCCAGTGCCCTGGCAGACAAACCCACAATTTGATCACCCACTGGACAGCAGGGAACTTAGTGCTTGATGCAGGAGCATATTTAGAGCTCTCATCCTGCGCCATCTGCTGCCAAGCTAGCAGTAGAAGTTACTAAATCTGACATGACAGCGCAATTGCAGCAATTCCCACAGCAGTTTACCCAATGCTTATTCCAATAATAAGGCAAAAGGAGGACCTGCTAGGTGCAGGAAATCTGAAACTGCTGGTGAAGTATTTCACAGGACAGGGAAGAAGATAAGATTAACCATCTCATCTGCATACCCGTTTTGCTGCATGTCATTAAAACTACCAGTGATCCTTGTGCTGAATTCAGTACACTAAACAGTCTGCCCATCACTTCCACTAAAAACCAGCCAGTTTTGGTGAGCAAGTCTGGAACAGGCTCTTGGGTATCTTCTTTGACAACCAAACACATCTTTGGGCATCTTTGTTTTATAAAATCTGTTTCATGTTACATCAAATTCAACAAACCCAGGAATATGTTTCAATGCTTTGATTCCTCCCCCTTTTTCCCCTATGCCCAGAACAAATAGCCATAATACAGCAAAAATGAAGGTAAATTTGATTTTATTTTCTTCTTGCTCTAAAGAGCAAAAAATGCAGTGACAGATGTTATGCTCACCAACCAAAATCTTGTGCTGTGATTAGCTATTATTAGCATGTGTCTAATCCCCAGGGGATTAAGTGGTTCATCTAAGCATGGCTTCAAGTGTCACCTATGTCTCACATGGACATAAACTAATCTCTTCTGTTGAAAACAGATGAAGTGATAAGTGTTTAGAAGCTTTCTAATTTACTGAAAACACTGCAGTTTGTCAGGGTGAAAGAGCATGTTTTATATTCTGTGTCAGTCCCTTTAAAATCTAATAGGCATCTAGCCCTGAAGTGCAGTTAAAGAAGTTACTTTTTATGCGACTCTTTAAGTAGCCAAGCAGTCCCAATTACCATGAGTTCATTTCTGTGCTGACTTGCCCAGGTTGCCTCTGAAGACACACAGATGGCATGAATAGGATGGGTTCAGTCACTGCATCCAAACTACCGCTGCCTCCCTCTAAAGTGTAAATGGAGGTTCCACAGAGATCAAATCAAAGTTGCCTCTAGCAGCAAGCAAGGACAGCTTTTTCCAGGCAAAATGCTTCAATGCAAACCCTAAACAAGCTGCCTGTAAAGCAACAGAGTTCACACCAGCTGCAGGGCAAAGTTGTGCGCTTCTGTTCAAGAGGTCCTGGGCAAGAGGCAGTAAGTGATCACTGGAGTAAGCCCAAAACATCCAGAAGGCTTTATCCTCACTCTGGAAGTCCAGACTGTTGGATCAGAATCAAAAGCTTCAGGACTTTCCAGGCTGACTCCATAGGAATTATATGGTTGTCCCTAGTGGTTATGTCCAAGGCTCCCCAGCACTTAGCACCCAGTGTGAGGAATAACTGCTAATACCATCAACTCCTATTTGAATGTCTGAAATCTTAGATCTCCCAGGTGAGCTGGGGAGAAAGAGTTCAGGAGTAACCTTTGCAGTTAGAGAAATTATTTGGGTGCTAGAGAATGGCAGGCATGGTTTGCTGTCAAAAGTACTCTTCTAGTGATCTCTGCTTTCTTGTCTTTTTCTGATGTATTGTATTCCCATGAGAGGCTACTAGAAGGAACATTTTGGGAAGGAGAGGGAGCTGTAGTACTTATGTGACTGGAAATGTGGACAAAATTATCTAGGAAGAATGTACATAAAAATGTTTCATTACACAGGAGAACTGAGGACTCTTAAGATTCTGATATAAACATGAAGGCTAAACTTCATTTTTGCACTTTTTTGTCCCCTCCCCCATGTAGTTAATGCATAATGTCTTCCTATTCTTGAAAGGATCATCTTAATTTGATGCTGCAGGTATGAGAAGAACTAATTATGTACCTGCTCCATGCAGGCTGACAAAACACGTGCCTATGCAGATGCGTGTGTATAGCCCAAGTGTTTCTCTAATTAATGCTCTGTGCTTATTCTCCTAACATGTGTTAGAGGCAGAAAGACTTCAACGAGACAAAGCAGTAGTACAATCAAATCATCAGATTTATTAGCTTTCTGGGCAGCTTTTTCCATTATGTAAAAGCTGTGTTTGTATTAGTATAGCAGTCAGACCCACCAGTGTGAGGATTACAGTTGGTTTTTACATAATGGATTATCCAAGATTAAGTGTTTTATTCAGGCACACGAGCAAAAATAACCAATTAGTGACTTTGCAGATTCCTTATTTAAAGGGAGCTGGAGGGCAATTGACACAAAACCCTCCTGCTACCTGCAGTCCAAAGACTGAAGCAGTCTCAAGGATCTCCAACATCTCTACTCGGCAGGTAGGTCTTTCTTTGGCAGAGGTGGATCAGAATGGCATCTCCTACAGCAGGGAAATGCAGCTTGCATGGCAGCAGCTAGGAACAGCCTAGTGTAGCTGCACGGGTGTTAGGGCTCTGGGTTGGTAGCTCAGCCTGGTTGGTGCTGACAAGTGCTAGATAACTGTTTTATCTTGGCATCAGGACAGGTACTCAGTGTCAAATACTCTGAAGGTTTTCATTTCCTGAAGTCTGAGAAACATATATGCTGGAATATGGATGAGGTGGGATATCCAAGGAGAAAAACAGCCATGAGCACCTAGTGGTTGTGCTGCAATGACAAATCAAGCCTCTAGAAAATTAATAGTATCTGTAATGTTTGTTGAAGGAATGGTCAGAGGGCAGCCAATATCAAGGTGTATTATGCCATTAGAGCAGACACCTAGGAAAGGCTGGTTTTGGTGAGCAGAACTGGAGATAAAGAATATGGCTTCACTAGCTTGAAAGCAAAGTGGACACTCACTGTGAAATAATTAAAAACAACATCTTTACAATGTACAGTGCTTTACCAGAGCTCATTAGAACATTTTTCGTCCTGTGAAAACAAAATCCAAAAAAATTTCAATTTTTTACCAATTCTTACTGACCTTATCCATAGTCTGGCTTGATTTATAATACAAAAATACAATTAATTGCATTACCACTACTGGCAAGCAAAATACTTCTCCAAAGAAATTGCCATTGATGTCCAGTTTTGGCTGAATTTAGGCACCACAATGACTAAATATCAAAGGAAGCACTGGTTGTCAGTATCAATGAAGGAGCTAGTATGGAAAGAAACTAGTCTTAAAATGATAGAAATACATCTGTAGCACTAGCTACCTCCATCTACTGCATGAAATAAACCCCGGTGTTTGCTTTTGTCTTGCAGAATGAAATACGCACAGTATGTTTTCCTGGCCTCGGTCTTCTACACTGTTGAATACAGCCTAGCTCAGACCTGTGCAGTGGAGTCTTTCTCTGTGAAAGACAATTTTGATCCAAAAAGGGTAATTACGGCTACTTCGATACTACATGTGAAGAAGCTTTACATATAAATTGTTTTTCCAGATTACAAGTTTTGTTCGTCTAAAGGGGTTCTTCACCAAAAAGCTAACTTCTTTCATATTCTGTGTTGCTGATGCTGTTCCTGTAGTTTTCTCAGCACTGTTTAACCTTCTGAACATTACAGTAAAATTGGGCTTGAAAGCCGGGGATGTTACTAGAGCTCATCTTCTGTTAGCTTGGCACAGTTTTGAGCTTCGAGCAGATCCTTGAAAGGAATGATTTAGATCCACATCAGAGAGGAAGCTCAAGCACAAGCCCTAGGGTACTTGCATCCACCACTAGTCATTTTTGGGAGCCATAGCAAATGGAAATCTTACCTACTCTGGTATGCTGAACACTGACTCCTGCTGAAACACATAATTTGTGCTTCTGAGGAGAAAATGAGGGCTAATCTGCTGTTGGAAAGGTCCAGATGAGTGTCAGTACCTATGTTAACTAATGGTCAGCAAACACCACAATTCTAGGGGCAGATGGGATATGGCGAGTACTTTGTCTATACAAGATTGGTTTGGCTTTGGAAACAAATCTTGTCTGGGGAGAGCTTTGGGAATCTCCCAGTTTTAGAAAGTCAAAGCTTTTGCTTGGATTCCTGTATTTGGGAATCACAGCTTTGCAGGCTTAAGCACATAACTTGCCTAACAGATGTCATTAGCTTCACTGCAGAATCAATTTTAACACAGATAGTTCCTGCTCTTCTCAGAATTTCTACTGATAATGTTAACTTTTAAGGGTCTTCCTCTCTGTCAGTCACCTGTTAAGATCTTGTGTTCATTCTACTAGATACCTCTTGTACATTTTCAGGGGCCCATTTTTTTGCGTGGACGTATTCTTCCCCTGAATCTCTCTCCATTTCTCTCTGCTGTTACTCTCCCCAAAACACAAATCGAGTATGTAGTCATCATTTTTTGCTTTGCTGGATAGACCCTTTTCCCCATAAGACATCGACTGTGGCCCCTGACAGCCACAAAGATTGTCTCCAGCCAGCTTGCTACAGTCTTTTTACCTGCAGTAAAATTCTTAATTCACCAGGACTACACACACGGAGCAGTGCAGAGCTGCTAGACCCACTTCTGGCACAGAGGCAAGGGTTCATCAGGCAGCACTGCAGCATCTGTGTGCTACGTTCCCTCCCAAACTCAGAGTGGCATTTATCAGGCAGTGAGGAGTTAGAAAGGCACTTTGATCACAAAATTGTTTTTGTGCTAATCTTGCCATGGTGGCTAATGCAGATATTAATACTCTTCCATGACAGTATGCAGGGAAATGGTATGCCCTGGCCAAGAAGGATCCAGAAGGCCTTTTCCTTCAGGACAACATCTCTGCTGAATACACCGTGGAGGAAGATGGCACAATGACGGCATCCTCCAAAGGCAGAGTCAAGCTTTTTGGGTGAGCTCTCTTGACTTTCAGCTCTAGCTGCTGTTACGAGTTACTGGATGAGGGGGACATGGATTGTGACCTACCCTGAATACACAACATGGCTGGGTTTTCTTCATCTAGAAGGGAAGCTCAGTCAAAATATTAGATTAGAAGCTAGAGGTTAGACACTTCTGAGCCCTGAGTTTCTTCACAGCCTGGCTCAGGTTTAGGTCCATCACAAAACTACTGCATAAATTTAATTATTAAGTCATCTTATCTGATGGAATGGTTAGATAAATTAATTGAAATCAAGTAAAGGAGGTAATGAAGGCTGTCAAGATGCAAGATTTCTGAGGAAAACCTGTGGCTAACTCTTAGATGTAATTGCAATGCCTGAATGGACAGATGGCAGGAAGCTTAGAGTTTTGCCTGTTGGTCATGATTACTGCAAGGAATTACAGCATGTAAAGAGATTAAATAGCTTCCTGAGTGCAAAAAAGAAAATCTGTGGCTTCCAATATGCTAGCACTAGCAGGTGGCTATGAACCTTTTACATCTTAACAGTGCAGCACACCAAGATATTTTGAGAATGGGCAAATGAGGTTTTGCAGGCATGCTATACTGTGCAAGGGGGAAGATGCCAGAAAGGACTCTTCAGAAAACAAGCGGAGTCTCAAGGCTGCTGCAAATTTTATTTCTGCAAAGTCAGGATAAGGGGAAGCCCAGCCTGAGCAAGGAAGGGAATGAAGACCCTTCCACTGTTTCATTAATCCAGGTAACTCTTGATGAACAGTGTTGAAATGTAGATGGCATTTAAAGGAAACAGATACCAAACAGAGAAGGGCATTGGAACAAATGGACACCCACAGGGTTCTCAAAGGCTTTTCACCAGCTGACAGCTGGCAGAGGGGCTGTAGATATTATCGTGCTTGTAACAGACATTCCTGTGCCCATATTGCTGGGAAGAGATAGCCAAGTCCCTGCCTCTTCCTGGGGGACAGCTACTGACCTCAAAAGAGCCCAAATGCAGGTGAGCTCGCCCTGCAGACTGCCAGCAGGGAGCCAAGAAACAACATTCATTATTGTGCTTGGTGACTGTCTGCTTCTACAGAAATGGGTGGCAAAAATCTTACTGAACTGAAGGAGGGTCAGGGCACTGCCCCAGCCACAGCGTTGCCATACAGCAGAGCTGGGAACCAGAGAACAGCAGCAATCACTGGCAGTGTTTGGGAGGTGTCACAGATTTGCGTTACTTAGTGACAGTGACTTTGCACTAAGAAAGGCCATGCCCATGCCTGAGGCATTCGTGCCCAAACCCTGAGTGAAGGACACCCATTTGAAGCTCTCATGCTGCTAGATTTTACCTTGAATCTATCTTACGGATCTCATTGCAGTTTCTGGGTGATCTGTGCTGACATGGCTGCTCAGTACACAGTACCTGACCCAACCACTCCAGCAAAAATGTACATGACCTACCAGGGACTGGCCAGCTACCTCTCCAGTGGCGGTGAGTTAAATTCTCCAGCCCTTTGATGCTTTTCAATTGCTTAAAGCTGTCCAGATGTGCCTTACCACATATCAGCAGAAAAAAAACAGTTCAGCTCAAGATTGCTGCAAGTGGCGGTGAGTTAAATTCTCCAGCCCCTTGATGCTTTTCAATTGCTTAAAGCTGTCCAGATGTGCCTTCCCACATATCAGCAGAAAACACCAGTTCAGCTCAAGATTGCTGCAAGTTCCCCCTCAAACATCCTTTTTGGGGAGTATGCTTTATCCAAGCAGTGCATTTTATCTCCACAGAAAGGCCAGCATCCAGAGACTCCCCACAGATCCTTCTTGTACACTTTATATCTTAACAAGGAGGCTCAGAGGCATTGAGCCACACACAATGTACAGCCAATTGAGGTGTTCAGCCTAGGGAAGCCACATTTCCTGGGGCCCACTGCAGGCATTAGGGAAGTGCTAAAGTCAGTCACCCCTGTACTCCTCATAGCTAAACAGAGGAGACAGGTAGAACCACACTGCACCCCAGCAACACGACACATTTCTCCTCAGAGAGACACAGCTGGACTCAAACAAACGGAGTTGTTAACTCAAGTCCATCTTTCAGAAACTGCTCATGCTGAACCTCAGTTACACTGAGGGCCCTTCAAAGCCTATCCTTTGTGGCTGAGCCTGCCATAGCTGCAATTCTCAGCTGTGGAACTTGGGGATGACTTCTAAGGTGTAAGAAAGAAGTACATTCCCTTAGTACTGGCAGATAAACCACACCAAAAAGAACCAAGTTAAGCAAGGCTAGAAAACATGAGGAATGTTTTACTGAGGCTTCCTGTATAGGAAATGTAATCTGTACTCTATGTCCTTCCTTCCACCATGCTCGAGCAAGAAACAGAGGTATTTTGTCATTGAAAACCTAGAAAATCGTAGTCCTCCTAATATTTCTAGCTTAAGAAACAAAAGGTGAAAATGCACTGAGCATCGTGGGGAAAATCATGGTCTCAAGATGCTCTGTGCTTGTCCCAGTTCTTCCCCTCATGGTGTGGAGATAAGCTGGATGTGTGACATGATGACAGATCCTTTGGAAAGCTATCACTGTCATGTGAAGTTTGTCACCTCTGCTCTGCCATGCCCACTGTGACAAATCTGTGCGTTCTGTGGTTTCAGGGGACAACTACTGGGTGATTGACACTGACTATGACAACTATGCCATCACCTACGCCTGCCGCAGCCTGAAGGAGGACGGCTCCTGTGACGATGGCTACTCCCTGATCTTCTCGCGCAACCCCCGCGGCCTCCCCCCCGCCATCCAGCGCATTGTGCGCCAAAAGCAGGAGGAAATCTGCATGTCTGGCCAGTTCCAGCCTGTGCTTCAGTCAGGTACTTTGGCTAATTAGCAAACTCACTGAGTTGCACAGTAGGTGACTGCATTTGCTGTTAATGTGACAGAACAAACTCAGTTGTTCTTTTTTAGCAACATTTTCCTCATGTTAGATCTAATAGGAAAAGAGCTACAAAGGGAAAACCATACAAGAACAAGAGGCTGGGTCTGCAGCCTTAAGATTGCTACTTACCAGAATCCTTTGTGTTGAAACTGGTACGCGACCAGATGAAGATCAACCTTGTTACTGTAGTAGACAGTACAAGGATGGATGCAACAAGTTGGTGTCTCTGCTCTTGGAAATGCTTGTGTTGGCCACTTGCATAGTAGCATCTTACCTTGGGTCCGTACAGTGTCCTCCAGGAAAAGATGAAAAGCTGCCACCAAGGACCACTCTCACACTCAGTTCCATCATGACTTGTGTCCTGTGTGGTCTGAGTAGCAGGGGTGAGGGGCTCTGAGCAGCATTTCTGACTGCATCAGCTGGCAGGGGGAGTCAGCAGCTGCTCCACATACATGCAAACAGACCACGTCTAATGCCATTTTGAGAACATTTTTCTGGAGGTACAGGAGTTGATTTTCTAGTTCAAATGCGGCCAGACACATTTTTAGGGCTCTGCAGAAGGCAGAAATTCTTCTTTGTTGGCAGTTGAGCATTCACACCCTTCACAACCTAACTACCTGGCCTGGAAGTTGACTTTTTACTAAGCCACATAACATGTTTTCTGCACTGTGGGACAGGGAATGGCAGCTAAAATCTGAATTGTTGTGTGTCAGCCAGTCTCTACTACAGAGCAGGTATTGCCATCGCCCAAGGCCATGGGCATGGCGTGGGCATCCCTGCCCCACTCCCCTCTGTGCTGCTCCCCTGTAGAGAGGGCAGCTGGTTTGCAGGGTCATGGCTCGGTCCTCAGGAAAGCTGAGTGCCCTTGGCTAACAGGGAAATGCTGCCCGTGTCTGTGCCAACAGAGAGAAATGCAAACAGCAACTTTTGCACCCTGAATCCTAGTCTTGTACTGTGATTCAGTACAAGTACCCTAGGAAAGCTGTAGTTACTGTTTCACTGGAGACTTAATGGCTGTTAAAGCACTTTGCAAATTTACTTACACAGACTAAAGTTTACTTTTCTTTCTTTCCAGGGGCCTGCTAAAAGTACGCTTCTGATCGTATCCTTAAGCACAGAAACCAGACCGCTTGGTCTTGGAAGTTGCCACTCAACTAATCATTAAAAAAAAAAATCATAGTATGGAATAGTGTGTTTTTCCTGAAAAACACATGAAAATATTGGGGGATCTTTAAACAGTGTGCAATATAATAGTGATATTTGAATTTTCAAGGGAATACCTAATGTGGCATTTGTCAATAAATGTTTTTGGAAAAAAGGCACCTCTGAAACTGTTTTTTTATTGCCTGTTGTCCAGTCTGTTGGGGAGCAGAAGCACTGAGGATGCTCACTGAGGTGCTCCCAGCACAGATGGAGCAGCGTCACTCCCCAGCACTGAACAGGGGGGCAGGGCAAGGATGGTAAGAGGGGCACATCCCCTGACAGGGCTGACTGTTCAGACAGCAGCATGGTGACAGGGTAAGGCTGGGATTCCCCCAGCAAGAGAGCAAGTGAGGGCAGCAAGACGCAGGGCAGTGTGCAGGCACAGCAGTGAGATGGCTCCAGCCAAAAACAGGACTCGAGAGCATGTCTGAGGCAGAGCTACCTGCAGCAAAGTTCCCAAGGGGAGAACCACAAATGCAATGAAACAGATGCTACTTTCAGTAACACTGTACAATGCTTTAAATAAGTGGGTGCTTGCATTTCTAATGGCATTAACAGTAATTTGCTCCTCTCTGCATTCATAATCCAGTTTTCAGTATCTGGAAAGTATAGAAATGAAAGATATATAACAGACTGGATTTATGGCAAAGAATTTCAAATAGAGAAAATGAAGAGTACTTGGAAATCTCCATGTAGAAAAAGGGTAACCTGGGTCAGCTTTTAGTAAAATCACAGTCACTTTGTGTATCCTAGTAATAAAAATACCCATCTAGAACACCCCAGCATCCTGCTGAACCCTGCAGTTTATCAACTACACCATTTTTACAAGTTATAATTATGAAGCATAGAGGTAAGACCAAGCTGAACAGCCCCTACTCCTGAGGCTTCCAAAAGGTGTGTGGAACAAGGCTGATGTTGACTGAGGATCTTCAGAGCAGTACACTGTTAAACAGCTTCTGCAAGGTGCTTGCACAATCTTACCCACAGTAGCCAGAAACATTATAGAAACCAAAGACCAGAGGCACTCTCCAGGACCAGAGATGTTATCCCAGAGATGCAGTGAAGTCTCTCAAACTTGTATTTCCCAGAATTTCCTGGCAATACTCATAAGGCTCTCAACCTGCTTGAACAAATGTGTCCTTGCTCTTCAGGTCTAGGGAAAGCTACCCTGACAAGAGAACAAGATTGTGAGCTGCTACCTAAAGCTAAGGACAGAAACACAGAAGCACTAGCAGGCAATCCTAACAAAACCCCACATAGACAGAGAACTACTGAGTGTTGAAAAAATATCAGCCGTTCTGCTGGATTAAGTGCAAGGTCAGTGCATTGATTGAATGTTCTCCACTTCCACCCTTCTCCCAGCAGGAAGTATTGGGGTGGAATCTGTGACCTTAGGACTTGTGTAACAACTGATTAGAAAGCACTAACCCTTAGCTGAAGGAGCGTGGCCTTTGGCCAAAACTGTCAGACTAATACTACCAGTCTTAGAGAAGTGGGGTTTTTAATGTTTATACTAATTGTAAAACCAGAGTAGATGAGAGTTGGGAAGATACAATCAATATGCAGGACCCAGTGCATCTTTTGTGCTTGGTGTAGTCTGTCCAGACAAGATAGGCAGTGAAATTCCTCCTTAGCCACATGAGACAAAGCCTGCAGGATCACAGAAATACAGAGGTGATTCTGGTTGAATACACCATAGAGCTCACATGCCTCAGGAATTGTACCTGGGACCATCAGGACCACAAGCAAGTCCTCACTGTATGATGTGATAAGTTAACGAACAGATGGGAGTTATAGCATATTAATTTGTCTCTAATGACTGCAGGAAATGTGAAAGACAAGGTAGGATAAGGCAGGTGGCCATGAGTGTATGCTGATGAGATTTACACTTCTCTTGAAATTCTGTTGAGTTCATCATGAAACATCTCACGTATATCTAGAGGCAGACATCTTCTGTCTGCTGTTTGAGCTGGTTGATGAAAAGCAGTCTATTATTCCTGGGTTTTAAGTGTGTGTATAGGTCCCAAGTCATAATCTCTGTCCTGCGCAAACTTTCCACTAACAAGACAAAATAAAAAAATTGTTTATTCATTAAAAGGACTGTTGTTTTGTCCTCAGAAGGTCCTTTAGTGCTGGCAGAAAGACTATGACTGCGCAACAGCAGGAGGGACCCTGCAAGGATATTGTCCTTCACACACCAGTGAACCTCCTGCAGCAAGGACACTGCAAGTCCTGAGATCAGACACTATAATACCACCTTGAGTTTGAATAGTTTTCCCTGGGTTCTGGTAACTGTGGCAATCTATGCATTTAGGTTTCACCTTCAGCCTCGACATTTTGATGCTTCGATTATATGTAATGTTGGAATTTCCACAAGTCGAGCTTGTGGAAATTGCTTATTTTACCGCTTGTGCTGGTAGCCACAGTGAGCAGCTGCATGGTACTTGGTTGCTGGCTGGAGTTAAAACATAATAGGTCCTTGAGAGTAGTATTTACTTTCCAAGAGTAAGTTGAGTTGTAAGCAGTTTCTACAACACAGCGATGAGATCTTGTTTTTACAGGGTTCGAGTGAAAGATTAATAACCAGTTTTATTTGCTGTCACAAAAGATGGTAACAAATGTAGCATATACACAATTCAACAATACTCAGCTGAAAGGTTCTTTCAGTTGCAAAATGTTTATATAGCCTCACAAGCTTTTGTTTGAAGCGCAGGCAAATAATCCCATGTTGCAGTTGCAGTTACATATTCTTATTTGGATTAATGAACAGCAAAAGACATACATGAGTGCTCTGCAGCCTTGCTTTGGTTATGATACTACAGAACTACTAAGCACCAGCTATTCACACCCGGTGCTATGGATACTTGGAACTTCTGAAAACTCAAACTGTAATGAGGGGCTGATCACTACATGTAACAGTGGAGATTAGTCAAACATGCAATTTTGGAAACACTATCAGAGTCAGCAACAGATGGTTACAGAAATCTCAAGTTTCAAGTACTAAATAGCGTTTTTCTGTAGATATCAAATGATAAAAAAAGAAAACGCCATTTCAACAACTTTTATAATTTGTTAGAAATAAACTCATACCTGGAAATACCAACTTCTCTTCTCTCTCTAATTGTTAATACATGCTAATTTCTTAAAGGAATGAGTTTATATCATAGCAGCAAAGAAGATTTTCAGAAGAAATCTTCTATTTTTCATGGTTTGCACATCTATATATTTTCATCCCTGCATAACAAAATCAATGCTATTCACTACAGCTATGTTTCTTCTTCTTCTTTTTGTTTGGTTTTTTTTTGTTTTTGTTTTTTTTATGTTTTTTTGGGGTGTTTTTTTTGGGTTTTTTTTATTTTTTTTATACACCTGTAACTAGTACATAGTCCTTGGTTTGATAAAAACTGCTATATTATGATTGCCAGGGTGGGAAAATTTTAAAGCAGAAGGGCTACTCGGTTAGGACATCCTAACACACTGAACTGTCCACTCAAGCTCCTACATCTTCCCCTGCTCCAGACACGCTAAAATCTCTCAAGACCCTATACTTGTATTCCTCTAAATAATTTTATTTGTCGTTCCACCTCATTCTAGCAAAACAACGTGTGTTAATCGCTAGATTTTACTTAACTGTATACACTGGTTCTTCAGTCAGGGGCAATTATCACTAGTTTAAAATGTATTTTTACCATCTCCATCCAAGTAGAATGTCTCAGTAACTTTTCTTAAATTGAGGGTTTTCAATTCAGTAGGTCCCATGGCCCTTTTCTGTTCTGCCTGTACAGACAAGGAATTGGAGGACTAGGATGTGATAAGTGCCCCTTATTAAAACTTAAATGAGGCAAGAAACATTTAATCTGAATTCTGTGACAGAGCAAATCTTTTAAGGCTATTTTTCAGTAAATGCACTTGAACAAGTAACCAGCAAGTAAGCAGATACAAGGTCACATTTCACACACACTGACTTTTTGTATATGTTTCTTGTCTGTGCTGTAAGAGTTGAGGGTATTTGAGGTAGTTCAGCTCTCTCCTACTGCGCAAACTTGGGCACTTCTTTTTTTCTGAGACCTGAATGTTTCATCAAATATGCAGTTTTTGTTGTTATGTTGGTGAGGTGGCTGATGTCAGCAAAGAGAGCAGTAGGGGATTTGTTTGTGTGACAAGTCACTCCTCTTATGGAAAACACTCCAGCTGTTTTCACTGGCATTATCCTTCTCTCTGCAAGCCTGTTAAAGGCACAGCTCAAACTGTGCCAGTTGTGAAAAGGGAAGAATAAAGCAGCACCCCTGCAATTTCTGGGAACTTTGCTGTTTACATAAAGTGTTTGGCACCTGCAAGCACAGCCAGTGGTGATCTGTAGCCCATGCACTGGCCATCATACACTGGTGCACATGCTTTGCTATCATACATATCATATGCCCATGATTTAGGGCCATCACACGCTTGTGCACAGGAGCTCAAACTGTTCCTCGTTAATCTCCTAAGTGTCTTAAGTAGTAGCCCTGCTACATTCAAGAGTGTGCTGTCCTGTCATACAAAAACACAAAAGGTTCTAATTAGTGTTTCAGCTTTCTCCTGGCCATGCAGAGCTGAGTGACCACTTACAGTCTCTGAGGGGAGGTGTCAGCTGTAAGGGCTGAAGAACACCAGGCTAGGTGACAGCAGTGGAGAGAAAATGGGACTTTCAGGGTTAGAGCCTCTACCACAAAGAGGCAGCAGCTGATGGCCAATGCACAAACAGGTGACTTTGGCAAAAGAACAAAAGAGAAAAGGCAGGAAAGTCTGGAGGGTAGGGCTTTCTGTGCCTTCTCCTCTCTGAGAATGAGCTGATACCCCTGCCTCTGCCTACGGGAAATAACTCTGGCATCCATGTAATGGTCACAAATACTGAGAAAGCTGGGCAGAAACCCCTCTGTGAGAGAGTGAAAAACCTCATCCCCCTGAAGACATGGCAAGTATTCTGAAATAACCCACTGTTACTAACCAGCCAAAGGAACTAAGGGATCTTTTACTTCATGCTCTGAATGTGTCTTGTTGCTGTGCACTTTTCCATCAAACCATTAAGTCAAGACAGGCTGGCAGCTAAGGCAGTCAGTTCACCACACTCAGGCTCTCCATGTGCCTTTGCTACCATCTTCACTCACACAGTGAAGCCATGGTTCTGTTCCTGCTACAGTTTGTGACCTCTATAAATCTTAGCTTGCCCTGGCAGTGAAAAAACGGGGAATAATAAAAATGTATTCCCATAATTCCTAGTTACCAGGCTGAATCCCTGTCCTACGGCAGCCTCTTACCAATTGTGTTGGCAGTTGTGGTTGTTTGATAATGCTGTCTTCTGTGCTGTAAAGAGTTAACAGGGGCAGTTGCTTCTAACTTGCGTTCCTAACTTCATCAGGTCATTTCCATACGCCCTCCTCAGCCTGGGAGGAGTTTATTTTTCTGGGGAGTTGTCATTTGCAAAGAACATACACCACTCTGACACCAAGCCAGGCACCACTCTTCAGCATCACTTGAAAGCTTCAATGTACCCCACAGGAAGAGAGGACAGGCCTGCCTTCCCCCAGTAGTCAATGGCACGCACTCTGTAAAAGCCGGAGACTGAGCTTCCTGCAAATGAAAAGGTTAGAAATGGTCACTGTGAAATGCTGACACCTGTGGTATGGGAGGATGTGAAGCAGGCACTACTCCTGTAAAATGTAAGTTCACAGAACAGGCTGGGGAAATCAGTTCTGCACCCTACGTGTGTCTGTGCCTGTCTGTGCCTATAAAAACGATAACAAATTCCTCGTGGCCAAGTACTGACTTTTTTCTCTTGTTTCACCAAAGATGTCCTCTCTACTTACTAGGATTAGCAAGTACAGCTATGGTACTGCTTTCCCACCAGTTCCTTTGGAAGAAAGCTGTGACATCTGCAACACACAATTAGTAATTTCCTTGTTTTCTGACTTAATTTTCTGCCTGGATTTTGCCTTTGGAACAGGTTATGTGGGGACAGGCTCAACAAAGAAGCAGAACAAGAAGCACGCAGGCTGACTGAAAACCCTCTGCTCTACTCAGGAAGCACCACCACTTACTTTAAAGGTATGTGAGCTGATCTTCTGTGGCTCTGCTGTTTTTGAGCCTTGATCCAGTTCAAAGAACACAGCTTGCCCTAGCAGAATCTTTGAACACACAAGCAATATAAATTTGGAGGTATTTTATCTAATTAATTGATTCTTATAATTATTTTAGTGTTTTTATTCTAGAAAAAAAAGAATCCAAGAAATAATGGGTGAGGAGGAAGTTCCTAGCAATAAGGACTGCTGAGACATGATATTTTTTCAAGCAGTCTTTTTTGTTGCTATTAGTTTTGAAACAAACTATTAAAATATATAGTATTATAATACAAAAATGACTAATAATTTCAGAGATTTGTCATAGCCATGATTTACAGTGTTTGCTTGCCTGTGCAGCTCTTACATTGCAATAATAGCTCTGAACTTTTATTTTGCCACTACTGCTGATGTTAAGACTTTCTCAGGGTAAGATAAGCCCTTGTTTCTGGTAAAAACATCTCTCAACCTCTTTTTAATAGTATCACTGTAAGGCAAGGCTTGTCTGTGTTTCACTCAGCTCTCATCAGTGCTGATTATCAGTATCTGTTGAATGGTCATACTGCAAATTAGACAGCATTTGCTTAAAAAAGAAAAAAACCAAAACAAACAAAAAACCAACAACCACCACCCTCCATCTGCAGATAAACAAAAAAAATACCCAAATAAAACATCATTATCTTCCTTCACTTGGATGTTTCATCTGAGTAAGCTTCTATTGCAAGGTCTGGTCATGGTTTTTTATGGGTTTTTTTGTTATAATTTTTGCATATTTTTATACCAGCTACAAAAGTGCTCCTTAACTTCTCGAGAACCAGTGACTGGCTTTTGTGACAAGGAATTACCCATAGCATACTACTACTAATGTCCTCATGACTACTTGTTGACCTCTGCTTGTCCTTGAGAATAAGGCTCTTACTGAGAATATGATCCTAAAGGGACACGCTCTTATTTGTGAGGGACTGTGTGTTACTAGCAAGTTACCTGCCTTCAGTACCTACTAAACAATGGTTCACACACTTATGAGTGGCAGTATCACATGACAGATTACCTGATGTGAGTATTCTAGCCATACCTGGACTGTAGACCCAGAGAGTGAATATTGTGTCTTTGGCATTAATCCGCTGGTACACTTGTCCATCTGACGAGAATTCCACTTCAAATGTCTTTATACACCTAGAAAAGAGAACCATAGAGGTCTGTAATTACAACTGCTAATGTGTGAACTGTCGAGTACTATGAAAAATCAGGGCTATTTCAACAACAAGGACAAAAATAATAAATGTTCAGTGGATTAATTCCTACCAAATGTAGGATGGAATGAATTGGCACTATTAGGAAGAACCAGGGCTCCAACAGCCCTCAGAAAAACACCTAGACTGACTTGCTGCTTTGGGTATATGCAGCATCACAAAATGTCACGCATTTTTCAGGCAGACATCAGGGTTATCAAGAATGAAGAACCTAGGGAGACTGGCTTGGAAAGGACCTAAGTCACTGCTTCCTGAGGCTATCTGTACACTGGATCACCTTTCAGAGCTCACCTACAGAGGGTTTCCAGTTGAGTCTAGCTTGTGGAAGAACGCAACTGGAGGTTTTCTCTTCTAGTTCACATTCCTTAAAGAAATGTGTCAGGTACCACTTAGGCAGGCATCTGCTGATAACGTAACTTTTACCATGAATCTTCCTGTCTGCTATGCTGAATAGAATCCCCTCAGAAATGCCACTGAATGCTGGTGACCAACAGGCAGATTCCTTTGATGAGGCAGCAAATTAGGCAGGGTTGCTCTTCACAGTTTGTGCACACAGGTCCTACAGTTCATTTTTTCAGACAAATGCACTGTATCATCTATCAAGGAGCAACAATTCATTAACTGTTGAATTTGTTTTACTCTGTAGGGCTTGTGGAAACTTAGGGAGTAGTATGTTGATAATTCATTTGTATCAATTTTAGAGCTACTTACTTTGACTTTACACATTCGTCATCCCACAGCACAATGACCTGCCCCTTTGTGAGAGGGATCAAACGAACACCAGTTACCTGTCCAAAGACACAAGCCCATAAAAAAACTGTATAAACCAATCAGCCAGGTCAAATTTCTGTGTTCATACTTCCTTACAAATTACTTGGGTTTTTTTCCAGTGAGATCAGGTGTAAACACAAAATTCTTGGCTCTGTAGCTTTTTGCAGCCTATGTCTCCCACTCGTCAACGCTGCAGAGGACCTTCAGAGGCTCTGGGTACCATTGTGAACATGGGTGAGACTGAATGAGCAGATACATATGTCTAATATGGCAGCCATGATTCCATTTTAGCTGTCGATTAACTTGTCAGTTCTCGTAGCATACCATGTAATTTTTAAAGAGAGATTGCATTTTCAGGACTGTTTTATTAATTTCCCACTATAGGAACTTCCATTGATCTTAGTGATGATAAAGTACTACAAGATGTAATTCAAGATAAAGTACTACATAGCAAGTGATAGGAGCTGTCACATAGCTCCTATCACTTGCTGTGTAGTACTTTATCTTGAATTATATCGTTGAGAGCCTTCTCATCAAACTAGAGAAGAATTTTTTATTTACTAATTATTACACTTTTAACAATGAATTAACTCAAATGGTCTTCTAAGATTTAAGGCAGGAAGCAGTTTCAGTTTTGATGTGTCTGATGGTAGAATACAACACATACTTGATCAGGAGCTGATCTGGGTCTTGCACAGATGTGGATAAGAAAGACTGAGGGAACAGGAAAGTCTTGCTTCAGTGTCAGGATGCCAGCTTCAGGAAATGGGAATGGACCTGTTACCAGTGGGTCCTGCAGAGCCAAAAAGTAATGTTGTGAAAAATCTTTCATTACAGCACCTAAAGACCAACTGTTAAACCAGTGTAAAGTGCCTGTGTATTTACTTTAGGACTCTTAAATTTCCCATAGAGTTGGTACTGCTAATGCTTACAGGCATCAAAGTTCTCCACACTGGGAGACTTTATACTCACCTGTTTTCCAGCTCTTCAGGAAACAGAGGGTTTGTCTATCTCACAAGTTGGGTTGATCACAAATGCCCTTTAGGCACAATCTGTCACTTCTGTAATCTCCCATGGATTCCTTTCAGGCTAGAGGTCTTTACAAACCACGGCCCCATCTCTCCCCAGTGTGCACAGCAAGTTACTGCTAGTCACAACAGCTACACAGCTGGTCTCTGGGGATGAGGCTGTAACAGATAGCCAAGAGCATCTAAAATCTTGCTGCTGCCCTTTTCAAGGAAGAGCTGATGTCTCCTACAGTATTCCACAGGCCTTAGCAAAAGTCAGTTATGGTGACTGGGAAGAGAAGACACAGTACTGTATACCAAAGTCAGAAAGTGAGTAGTCTGTCTGTGGGTCCTGGAGGGGATAAAGATGACCTCAGTTTTTCACCTGGGAGTCTGAATGCATAGGGGAAACTATGGGAGGGGGAGCTGGAGTGACAGACCGCTCACATACACTCACATACAGTAAGCAATCTCCGCATGGCTTTCATCCCTAGGGAGGAGAGGACTTCTCAGAGAAGACTGACTCCCTAATTACCTCTATGGTGCATTCAGCACTAGTGAGGATAAGGCAAAACTGTCGGTCTCCCTGTGAGCCCCTTGCAGTTTTCCAAACTTGCACTAGTTAGTTTTCACCTCAGGGAGGTATTTGTTTCTTATTATTAAGGGGGTTAATTTCAATTTTTTAATGCAGCAATTTGGCCATTCTGTAATATACACAGGGCCATGTGACTTACTTGGAGATGGAACAGAAAGAGTCTCAAAGCCCACTGAAGATTCAGAGAGAAGGTGGAACTTCCCCAAGAGCATTATTTTATGGCTAGGCCCAGAGTGAAGAGGTCATATAACACAGACACAAAGGCATAAATTGTGCATGAGCTACACTTTTCTGCAGGACTGCAAATGAATTTTTTTGTATATATGAAAAGTGAATGACTGTAGGCTACAGAAATTTTTGTAACAGGCCTGATTTGTTGCCTTTTTCACAAGCACTTTACCTGTACAACACTTCAAGCAAACACATAATCATACCTCAGTATCCCTTATTTGCTGGAACTGTTCTGGAGATGGAAAGTCAGGACTTCCTAAGTTCTTCCACTTCAGATAGGGATTGGTTTGGTTGTTATCCATGTAATACATCACATACACCATCTCTGTAGGAACACACACAAAAAAAAAAAAAGGAAACTCTTTACTTGGATCTAAAGATTAACAAGAATATATTCAGCAGGTATGTAAGTCTACCTTTTCAAAAGTGATTTCAGCTCTTTGGAGCCTGACCTCCACTGCAAAGTCCCATGGCTAGCACTCTCATGAGGCTGTACAATTTGCATTTGCCAAGTTTACATTTTAAACTATTACTTCCACAACCAGAACCAAAAGCCTCTTTTTGCATGTATTTGTTGGGTAACTGCATCAGCTGTGCAATTGTTCGTGTTGGCTGTCTTGGAGTCATCTCATTAAGGGAATTGCTGCCTGGCAATATCCAGCCAAGTACACTGAGATCAGTTTTCCAAAAAGGTAGCACTTGGCAGCTGCCATTAAAGGCAGGGTTGAAGCGTAGACATTAGGAATGAACCTTTCAAAAGAAGGACACCATTATATCTCAGAAAATTTAGGAGTGCACAAAAGATGACAGAGGAAGCTAGGAAATTAAATTCAGTCTTGCAGTAAAAGGTAGTAGTTTTAGTAGCAGTAGAAGTTTTCCAGCTGCTATTCTGTCTTAAAGCTCACTTAACATGAGCTGTCTACATGATATTTGTTTACCTCTGTGTTTGGGGAAGTGGGTGGCATTCACTATGACAGTGCTGATGTTGGATGAAGTCCTGTTATCCTCACTTGAATACATCAGTACTGTAGCTTGCCAGCTGTCTGAGGGCTGTGTCTCACTTGGGGTGTGCACAGATGCCAGCACACCAACTGTGCTGTTTTCAGCGCTTTCATCTCCTCTGATCTTCACTTCTGCAAAAATCTGCTTTTCTCCTTTAAAAAATGTGACAACTGTAAGCATCACTATTAGTCAGTCCTGTGTCAGAAGCTTCAGGTCAAAGCATGCAAAGAGATTGAGCAAAGGCTGAGCTATGTTCTGCCTTATTTTACCAGTTACAGCCTTCAGTCACATAATATTTTACAACAGCAGAGTATGCATATACTACAGCAGTTCTTATACTTAGCAGTTCAGCTAGCAACATGCAAACAGGTGACAATGAATGAAGTTCTCCATGTAATATGCTGCATGAGTCTTCTAGCCACAGGGATTTCTTAGACAGCTGCAGCCTGAGGGGCTGTGCCCCTTGCATCACAAGAGAGAAGCACCAGTCCACAAAAAATGAGTGGTTGGCACACAGAGGGTATAAACAAAGCAGTAAGTTAAATCAAACAGATAACAGACTCTCAGGAATATTTTCTGAGCTATCTATCTGTCTGAGGAAATGAAGTTTCATTTTCTTAACACAGCTAGTAAACAGTGAGTAAGGAAACTCATGCTTTTACGAATAGCAAGATGGCTGGAACTCTCTTTCTAGGCTGGAAGCTTCTAGGTAGGACGGGTAATTGATGTGCTCTTTACTATACCTAGCAGTGCCAGCAAGCCCATGGCAGTCAGCACTGGCTTCCGCACCATCTGGACATGGGGTGGCTTTGTGTTGTTCATCTGAAAACGTGCTGTCAGAGTCCGCTGGGTGAAGTAATGGGGGTAGTAGCTCAAGAAGGCATTGTCATTACTCAGTAACGAGTAGTTGATGGTGTTGTTGGCTTTGGAAATGAGCAGGTTTTGGTGCTGGATGATTACCTGCGAAATCATAGAGAAAAAACATTCACCCTGGAGAAAAAACAAAAAGCATGCAGTCTCTGCATTTTTTTTTAATATTTGCAGCATTCTGTGAAGAACTGTGACTCTGCCTTTTAGAAAAGACTGTAGAAAATAACTGTTTATCATAAAGCTTGGAAAAACTGTACTTTAGGTGATGTATTAATCACTGTAAAATCTGAAGTACCCGCATAGCTTTGCCAGTAGTAAGTCTCAGAAATAATTAATACTAGAACTCTTCACAGATAATGAATACATTTCCTTGTCTATTGCACTACAAATTATGCCCCTCTGTCTCAAATACTTAATTAGAAATCAGGATTTACCATCTGAATTAAATCTAAATGATTCTCCAAATCTGGAGTTGCTTTGTACCCACTACATCAGTGTCTGATCCTGCATTCTGTTTCTCAATAAGTCATTTTTCCCACTTGGTGCTAACTTGGAATTAATTCTCCTGGTGTTTCACTGGGTACTGTGCTGCTCTCCTGAAAAACATAAAAATTCCCAAGTCCTCTGCTTATTAGATTGTGCCCAAGTATCAGAATTAAGCAGAACTTCAGAAGGCTGACAACTGAACAGTCTCACAATTATGTCTCAGAAGGAACACAGTGCTTCAACTTCTATACAACCAAGTGTTAATTTTCCACTGGATGTGTCTTTCTTTTGCCCTTCAAATCACCACATCATTATAAGCAGTGCTATTTTGTCTTGCAAACTCACTGTGATGCAGTCAATGACTTGTTGCCTTAGAGAAGATGTATATGCAGTTAGAGGTTTGTATGTGCAGTCTCAGGGAACTGGGAGCGTTCGTCTCCTCAGGGGCAGCTGATTAGATGCATCTTTTTTCTGGGTGACATATAGGCTCCTGTGTTTGGGAATTATTCCTTTGTAAAGGAGCACTTGGACTCTATGTGCTGTTTAAGGTAGTTGCTCGCAAGGCACCAGGCCTGCAGTGGAAGTTATTACTACGCAGGGGAAGAGCTGAGCTTGCCCTGGGGCCAGGGTGCAATTACTGCAGAGCTGGGAATGTTGAGCACTCTCTTCTTCTTCTGCTTTTCTGGTCAACATCAGTAATTACCAGCAGTAATTAATAAGATCATGTGTACAGCTAGTATCCCAAACCAAGGAATGGACTATAGTGAGAGCTCAAGGCACTTCTTTATTATACTTGATGTCTCTTTATGAGATAAACTTCTGAAGGAGCTGGGAAATAACTCTCACATATGTGAGGTGACAGCCAGCAGTACTGATATCAGAGCAGTAGTGTTGCATGGAGAGGCCATGTGTGGGAGCAATATTATCAGATAGCTCTAACTGGGGGACTGTATACATTCTACAACTCAGTTCTTCTGACAAGTTCTCACTTTGGTTCTGGGCCAGACTTTTTTTTTTTAAGGAAAGATGAAGAAAATTAAAATTAAATTAAATCTACAAATTAAATCAAGCTACTAAAACGAGACTATTTAGGGAAACCCCCTACTGCCCCAGTAGGGAGATCTCCTTTTTTTGGATCTATTAGTCTAAGTAGCTGCTTAAAAATTAACGGTTAAGTCTATATTTCAACTGCAAAAAGACATTAAGGGACACAACTACCAATGTTCCAAAACTACCAATGAACTATTACCTTTACAACCATAGCAGCATAGGTCACATCAGCTCGCCAGAGCTGTGGAATGGACCATCCAACCATTGGATCTGCTTCATTGTTATATACGGCAACAGATGAAAAACTTGGAAACAGCTTCTGAATTTGTTGAACTGCCTCTATTTCTTGTTGCAAGATGTAGAGAGAATTCCCATCTCCCTGCAACAATATTTCATATCTCCTTAGTAGTAATGAGAAAACAGTGGTAAACATACAGACATAACCTAGAGTCATAAACATAAAACATTCTGAAAACATATTCCTTGGTCACCAAGCTGCTGTGGACCAACAAAATTAGTATTTTTACCTCATCTACTACAGCATGTGCTACTTATATCAGCTCCTCCTAGAACATAAAATCGAATAGTAGAACAATGTTGATTTCTCTCTCATGGTTCCTGAAAGTCAGGGTGACTCCAAGAGAGATCTGAAAAGAGTCTTTGCTTCCCTAGCCCAAACACAGCCAAATGAGGAGACTTGGAATGCTTCCAGTTGTGCTTTCAAGGTTGTTTATTTCTTCTTATCTAAAATATTTTCTCTCGACCTGCCAAGCTTTGGCTAGCAAGGAGGCATAATAACATTCCGCTGTGCCCTCTCGGGTGGTGTTTACTTTGATATCAAAAGTTACATATACTATGTTTACAATTGATTACCAATACCTAATATTTATGTTGGACACTGTGTCTCTACTTTAAACCAATAAAAAAGTGTCACTATCACAGCAAGACATGGAGGACAAGAAGAAAGAAAAGAAGGCTAGGACACGCCCAGATTCCTCCATCTTGTACCCCCATGAATTACATCCTAAAATATCCAAAATTCTACTTTTCCACCCTGTTTTAGTTCAAATATCACACTACTAAAACCCTTATGTCTTGTAATTCCTCATCTAGAGCTGGGAGTTTTCCATGGGCTAAAACTGAAACCACAAATGTTTTTGACTTCTTGCCAGGGTCTCTGAGACCCTTGCTAGGGTCTTGAGACAGCCAGGGCAGCCAGAGGGATGTTCTGGACTCCAACAGAAGAGTTATTTCCTTTTGGGAATTAGGTAAAGACAAATTTGCTTTGAGTTGAAATCTTGTAACTGAACATCTTTAAAGTTTTTCAAGAAGGCGTACTTCCTGCTATAGACTGGACACTCATCATCATCATCAACTTTGTAAATCAGAATAAAATATAACTTTGATTGAACTGATTTAAATAAATGGCTTTAAACTGAAATCTTGGACTAACCTTCTTATGGAGAGAGATGTAATCCAGCCTTACACCAGTCTCCCCTGTGAAGAAGTTGGTCCCATTGTAGCAATGACACAGAAGACCCCAGCACATGGGTGACTTGGGTAAGGGATGGAAGGAATCCCCAGGCCCTCCAAATTTTAGAAAAGGACTGGCTGCTCTTAATCCTTCTGAACAAGCATCATAATAGTTGAGAAACCCTGAAGTCCAAGCAGATGAATATATCAAAGATGGTAACTCAAAACAGAAACTGGATCTAAAACTATGAGGAGATCTTATAGCCTTGTTATTTGATTTATTTGCAAGACCTCGGTAACTCAAAACAGAAACTGGATCTAAAATTATGACGAGATCTTACAGCCTTGTTATTTGATTTATTTACAAGGCCTCATGAATTGGGACTACCCCTTCCTATGCACTGACAGCACAAGAAGACATCAGAACTTCAGCTGCCTTCACAAGGTTCTTCTAAAGGTCTTGTATGAGCATGTTGCCAAAGCATGCAACTTCAGTGAAGTCTTCCTCTTATTCCACCCTCCTCCCCCTTACTGCTACTTACTATCTGTACTTTATAGGCTGTTAATGAACTGCATCTTCTTAGTGCAACCCTTGTTTTGTTTTTCTGCACCACAACCCCTGATACCCAAGTATAGAATAAATTGGAGCCAGTAACATGACCTTAGCAAAACAGATTTAGCATACCTGTCACATTCCTTATCATTGCTGTCCACCTTACTTCTCTGTAAGTATAACTTACATCTCACTGTCACCCCTCTGCTCAGCCCATACACCTGTCTCACTTCACCACACTCAGAAGTGCTCCAAAACATGCTCACCTTTTACTGTCATAGACACATTGTCAAAGTCGTGGTGGTCTGGCTCATTCCATGTCTCAAAATTCCATTTAGCAACATGCTCCAATCCATACCTATCTGTAGGAGAGGTCTCATTTATCAGTGAGCTGCATATCCAATACTATCATTAAGTTACTTATACAGACAATACTATTAGTTCAGGCTGCAGGTGAGGCTCAGCACCCAGAACTATCACTAGGTCATTTCCCTCATTATTAAAAATAATGAGGGAAATGGAATTTGTGAGTTTCAAAATTATTTCTCATTTTTGATGAAATGCAGCAATATTTGAAAAAGATGGAAGGTGAGAGGGAGATGACATACAGCTTTGTGATTAGGGCACTCACCTACCCTTAATTCAGGTTGAGCCTTCTGCCTTGTTAGAAATATTTGATGATGGCATACGAGAAGTGTTCAGGTTATCATGCTCCAGTGAAAGCTGGTAGTTTACAACCACAACAATATAACAAGGCTAAAAGTCAGCCCTTTGAGGCAGGCCAAATGTGCTACCCAGAACACTCTATTCATTCTGGATCTTGGCTACAGATCAGTAAAAAGAGGGACTATTATCCCATGGTTTCCATGGTCTGTTCTGGCATGTTTGTTTTCCAGTCTTGTGTTGAAATCCAGAGTCTTGAAACTGATCATAATACACAGAACTTTTTTAAGCAGCTAGAAAGGATTATGACAGAACAAATAACAACGCTTTTCTTTCTTTAACTTACCTATGTATCTCCTGGCCAGAACAGTAATTAAGTTTCTCCACTGTACTACATGTTCCTTATCTTCAAAATCTAAAAAATATCCTGATGGATTCCCCATCAATTCAAATCCTAAAAAAGACATAAGAAATTGGTCTCCGTGGTCTCCTTTTTTTGTGAATGCTATCTCATTTTTATTAATGAAGGGTTATCACATCATCTGAAACAAACTTGTTAATGAAGAAGCATAATTAAATGGGTTGTCTTTCCTGTTTCCACACGTTCCCACCAGAAATATTTCAGATTTGAGGTTGTTTACTTGTTACTTGTCAGTGACTATAGTAGTTAAAGCTGATAGTTGTCAACATAAATGCAGGGCTCAGAGGAAACTTGAAACACTGGATGTTTGCATAAATTTATGGAAAGTTATACCTGGAATATTTGCTTCTCTGGTCCTTTTAGGTGTATGTCAATTCTCTTCAAGAGACCTCATTTACAAGTACAACCATATGAAACTGCCTTCAAAGGCAATGTAAAACCAATTGTGTTGTTTTAATTGCTACAATATCATTCTGCTCACACTGGGACATGATGTAAAGGCAAATAGGTAAATAATGAATCTTTTATCAAAGCCAGCTTTGGAAAAGCTTTCTAAGAATATTCTAATGATTGTAAAATATGGACGAACAGATATACCAAGCTGTGGAGGCAGGGAGCTGCCCTTACCTGGAATCAGCTTATTTTGCCACAGGCGATCCATAAGGTTATCCAAGGCAGTAAAATCGTAGTTAAGTTTGCCATTCACCACTCTGAAGAAAAAAGGTAATAAAAAATACAAGTGTAAATATTATAGCAAAGATAGGACTTGATTAGTAGATAATGAGTCAGATGGCTTCCTTCTCAAAATTTGCGTAAGACTTGGGTTCTTGGAATTGTACACAATATTCCGTCCTCAAAGTAACAGGTGTTCACCATAAGCAAATCATGTCTCTTGACTAATGCATGCCCTTTATCTATTTTAGCAGCAATAGAAGCAATATAATATATGGATTTGCTCGCTGCATTCTGGTTTTTCACTGAATATTACGATTTTTAACTCTCTGATGAAGTAAAATTTACATAGATTTTCTTTTTTTGCTTAATTTGTTTTCTCACTTTCCACTGGATTGCCCACTGCTAGGCCAGCACTTTTCACACTGCCCCATATGCAGTCTTTCTTAATGTACTTCTAATCTGAAGTATATAATACAGATTACTTAGTAGCATCCCATATGGATTAAGGTCCAGATGAAAAATAACTTTGTATCTTTCAAAGAACGCTGATTTCATGCACACAATGTCTGTAATTTTTACCTCATTGTAAGCATTTGTTTAATATTTCTCCTGTACTCCCAGGATCTCAGCCTGAAAATCTTTCATCCAGCTTTGAATAAATGTATTCAAATAGTTAGCACCCTATGATGCATTCCTTTGTGTCAAGGAATCTTGCAGGAACACAGGCACCAAAATGTGGGCATGCACATGGATGGGAACACTGGAATTCTTTTATCCAGGGAATGAAAAATGGCGTTTGCAATTTGTATGTGATACACTAGAAGATTTGCTTTAAATTCCTGAAAGGCTTTTCTTGCCTGGCATCCAGTAGAAACAAATACAAGGTACTGTGCAGATTAATTTCCCACAACTTCTGAACTTATGGCCTGATTTAACTGAAATATGAAAGGGATGGAGAATTTTTTGCCAGTATGAAGTGCCAAATAAGAATTAACAATGAATTTCTGTTGAGAAGATTCTGTTAGTGTGACTTACTGCTGTTTGGCCCAAGAAACAGTCTTGACCTGGCGGCCAAATTCTGGCTTCAGTTCGACCTGAGCAAAAGGCTTTTTAAGCACCCTTGACATAAGTCCAGCCCTGGTCACACAACAGCAATGAGTGAAGCCTTGGCAACCTCTCTCAAAGATGATTTTTCCAACCATACCAGGACACTACAACTGATTTTTCTGGTACAATGCAACCTGACCACTTCTCCTGAAGTCTTGCCTGCTCTTCCATAGGCACTTTGCCTTTGCTTGAGTGAAAAGTTATACAAGTGAACTACAGAGGCAATGCTGCTCGCATGATGGAATGGGGAGAGATAATCACAGTTCTTGCAACTGATCAGTCAGGCTCTATGCTCAGAGTGACAACTTGCTTCTTTCTGTACTTCTCCATGCATTTCCAAGCCTCTTTGATATAGGTTCTTTCTCTGTACTTTCTTGTCAAGGAAAGGTTTTAGTGAAGAATCTGTAATATCAGTTCCAAATTTCCAGAGAATTAAGAAGGGCTGACAGAATTGCCTAGTGAATAAATAAGGGAACTATGAAACATGAAGAAGACAAATCTCTGACCAGGATCTAGAAAAGGAAGACAAGGCAGGCAAAGTAAGTGTAACATAAGCCATATCCACTATGCCAGCTCCACAGCACACAGTCTTAGCCTGGTCACACTCTTTTACCAAAGACCTGAAGAAGGCTTTTTCTTCTTAAAGCATATCCTACCACCATGACAGAAATTGTCCTGTATGCAGTCGATGATGAGCTTGGGGTACCTGCCCAAGTCAAATGGCGCAGCCGTAAAAGAAGCAAAGAGCAGAAAGAAATTTATTTACTTTAGTATACTTACAAGTATTTTAAAAGTCACTGTTGGACTATGGAATGGCCATTTGGAACCTGGTTTTTTTTTGGGGTTTTTTTTTTTTGGGTTTTTTTTTGTTGTTGTTGTTTTTTTTTTTTTTTTTTTGCTTAGACAGAGGTTTTAAAAAAAGTCTGATTCCAAAGTTCTGAAACAGGTTTTTTTTTTTTTTGCTAAAACTAGCTCTGCTCCCTCAGATCCATTAACTATTTCCAGTTGTACCCTGTGTTCTATTGAATTATTTGCTTACAGGCACACTTACAGTCAGTGTGTGTAAGAATGATTAACTACACTGTCTTGTAAAAAGTTAATAATGCCATACAGATAAAAGCAAAGGAACTAGAATCTTCCTGGCTTCAGTCTAAGGTCTACACAGTATTATGTGAAAATATAAGTATAAATAAGCATATAAGATATAACCATAAATAAAACCTTCCATATGATACCTGTACACTTAAGATTCCATTACATCTACATTTTTCCAACTGCACCAATTAAGTAACATATTTAAAACAGAATGCCACTGCCAACTATAACTGAGTGCTGGTACACGAGATCTTTTGTTACGTGTGCAGGTGTAGAGGCACTTCTTAAGTTCTTTGGCTGACCAGTCACTTCATAAGAATCTCTTCCTCCTACCAAGCGGAACAGACAATATGCTCCCATGATTACTTGACTGACATGATTAACACTTGCTCAGATTTTGATCTTATCCTTACCTAGACTACATTCCTGATGAGAGATCGATGCATTTTTTTACAGCGTATACGGTACTGCTAGAATCTGGGTTGCATGGTTGCCTGCCATGTAGTGACTGGAAGCCATGCTGACTGTTGCACTTGAGGCACAGAAACTGGTAGTATTTACAAATGTTTTGTATGGACAAGATTGGATCAACTGCCAGGCCCTTGACAGGAGAGCTCTGAAGACAATTTTAGGACACTGAAGACCAGATCAATACTGTTACAGGCACATGACAAGGTAAATGTGTGGCGGAGGAGAAATCCATGTCCAAAGTTGTTCAAAACATGTTTCTACATCTGAACTGTTGGTGTAACACCATGCACCTATGATTGGGCTCTTGGCTGCAAGCTCACAGAATTTTACAATCAATTTTTGGCCTGTTCCTCTTCCAGTCTTTCTGTCACGGCTTCTAGACACCACTGCCTTCATTTACAAGCATGCAGAAGGTTACATACTCATCATTGCATTTGAGTGCTTGCAAGACTACGATCACACATTGTTTGCTGTCAGGTATTTTGAATGTCAAGCAGCAATCACTATCTTGTCTGTGCCTGGCTTTCTGTTCCTCAGCTGGGATTTCTCCGGGAAGCTTATCACATAGACCTTCTTCATCTTCAGCCATTATAAACAGCTACACTAAAGCACATTTACTGGCATCCTGGCACCAAGGCCCATAGAAACACCAAGCCTGAGGCTGCTATATTCCAGAGACTATTGCCTGCTGGTGAAGAACCTTTCCAGTCTGCATCATGGTCTCAGTTCCAGACCCATGTGCTGCCTCTTGGGAGCAACAATCATGCTGTGAATATGAAGAGCAGTTATAAGTACAGGGGACTGTCTGCTGGTTGCCACACAATCTGGTTGCTCCCTTCCTTGGAAAGGTTTGCTTCATGGGCTGTCGTTTGCTGAATCAAAGGCTACAGGCCCATCTTAACAGCTTTCTACTACTTCTTATTACTGAAGTAAAGTTTTTTTCAAGTGTTCTTCCCAGGTGCATAGGTAGCACTAGACAGCTTGCCAAAGTGTTGTAAGATACTCATGTTGTGCTTCTTATCCATAACATTTTCAGCCTACCCTCATTCACAAACTTAATCTCTTGGGAGGGCAGAGGTAAAACAGCTTTAGCTGTCAACAGCTTGCCAGATCTGCTCCAGCTAGCACAGCTGCAGATACTACTACTTAGTCTACTGCTATTGCTTCCGTCATGTGCCCAGCAACTGCTGCTTCTCTTCTGCCCTGCATTGATCCTGTCCAGGAATATAGCTGCATGCCCTGGAAAACATGTGCACACCCAGATATTGAACCAAATATCTTATCTACAGAAAAGAGAGAACAAAAACCACAGGCAGGGAGTGTTTCCATTCCAAGTGATCTTCAGTCAAGTACTGAATCTCTGATAACACGTCAAACTAACTTTATCAGACTTTCTTGTAATGTACCAAATTAAATCTCCTGGGATAGGAAGCCCTGTAGCTTCCTGTCAGTAGGTCACAGCCCATTTAGGAATAAAAATGTACCATGTAGGGTAACCATCAACAGAGATACTATGTTGAAGAGAGCCTAGGATTAAGGATAGCTGGGAAATACCAATATACTAGAATAGTACTCATCCACATCCTGACATTCTCATTCAGCTAGTATGGTCTTCCTTTTGTGTTTCTGGTAAACAGAGCTACCATATACATCAAAAGTTGACATAATCTGGCTTGCTTTCATCACTATCTGAGAACAGCCTCTTTGGGTATATTGGCCATAGTGGCTGGCTAACACCACTCCCACAGCAGCATAGCCTGCTGACATCCTCACTGGGAGCTTCTACTTGGAAAGACTGCTCACCTAGTTGCAAATGTAATCAAGAAGCAAGGACAGAAAACTGGCACAAGGTGTTAGCAGAGGAGAGATGCAACTCACACCTGTAATTTTTTTCAGCAGGCTATTGGCCAACCTCAGACTTGGAAGGTGGACTCCATGAAGGAGTCACCTAAAAACCCCTTTCTCCATTGAAGGTTTTCTGTGTTACAATCTTAAGAGAAGCAACAGTGCAGTCTAGAGACTACCCTGCTGTGGCAGTATCTAGTACCTCTGCTGAGATAATGATCATATTACATACCACTATTCATCTGATAAAGATCCTGAGCTGTGTGCCACACCATCTTTGCCCGCCCTTTAAGGGGGTTCCTGAAATCATACACTCTTGTCCATGGTGTCCAGGTCCACGATGTGGACCAACGGTAACACCATCACCGTTGTTTTGATAAGTGTAAATATGCATAGTAATTAAATTCCCCCTCTCAAGACTAAATTAAGTGAAAACAACTCCTGAGGCAAGTGACTACTATAAGGAGTGTTCATAGATACAGTGCCGAAGCAATTGCTTACCACCTTTCTAGAATCC